ATAATATTTAAAAATAGAAATGTGATAATAAATATAATAATATATGATATAAAAATAGAGATATTTATAAAATAAATAAAAATTATAAGAAAATATAATTTTATATAACTAGAAAAAGATTAAGGAATTAAGAAATTTTATGTCACTATAATAATATATGATCCTTCTTCAGAAAATTTTTGCTTTTGCAAAAATTAATTAATAATTTTCAATAATTCTTTCTTATTTAAGTAATATAACTTGGTTAGTATAAACTCAAATCTATTATCAAATACTTCTTCTTCAAAGTTATAAATAAAAAAGATTTTATGAATGATATTATATGGTCTATTATGTATGTATTTTTCAAGAGTAACTTTAATATTCTTTTTGATTTCTGATATATCTCTTGAATATTTTTGTAATTGAATTGAAAGTATATATTCAAGTTTATAATATTGAAGTATTATTTAATTATTATTATCCAAAAAATTATTATAGATTGACAATATGATTTCTTTAAGTTGAGTAGACCAATCTTTTTCCAAGATAAATTTATTATCTTCAGATATAGGAATAGATAATTCAAGTTTTATTTCAGAGATTATCAAACTATCAGAACTTATAAATTCTGATTCTTCTTTAGCAACTTCTTTCTTAATATTAGCTTTGAATTTATCTTCTAATAAAATAACAATAAAGATATTTAACTAGTCAAAATCCAAGTCAATAGTTATATTAACTAGTTCAACAGATACTTCAAGTGATTTAACATTTGTCTAGGAGTCCAAAAAAAAAGTATTATTAATTTCAATATCTTTGATAAATCCAGGCTGCATGAGTAAATCCAAGAGTATAATATTAGTTTTCTATTTTATATTATTAAAGTAAGTAATCCATAAGTTAAGAAGATAATTATTTCAAAGGATTATTAAGTAAGTATTTCCTAATAGATCTCTCTAAGAGATTTGATTATTGAAGAGGTAATCCAAGTAGATAATTAAGATATAATAAGAAATAATAAAATTAAAAAGTATAAAAGAATTTGAAAAGATATAAGATAATAAAGATAAAAGGTAATAGATAAAAGTAAAAAATATGAAAGAATAAAAAAAAAGAAAAGAAGAATAAAGGGAATATTTATATAAAATCTAAGCCAAAAGTCTATTATAAATGATAAGATATTAAGAATATTAGAATAAGAATAATTATAAAAATAGATAAAAATAAGATAAAAAGAAATTTTGAATATAGAAATAACAAAAATTAAGAGGTAATCTATGTAAGTTACTCAATAATAATTTGTAATTCAAAGTAATTATAATAATATTTAAGCTATCTTTCATTAATAGAATACTTGTGAATATTTCCTTTCTGATTACAAATTTTATAAGAGTTATATCTAGTATATTCATGAATATAATACCATTCTTTACTTCAATTAGATTGAAATTTATTTCTAATTACTGAGTATTATTTTATATCCAATATTAATACTTTATTTTCAATTTCAAAAATTATTTCTTTTTGAATTTTATTATTAAATATTTAAGTATATCATAATTGATATTCTTTTATATTTTGTTTTATTTCTAAAATTTGTTAGAATAACTAATATACTATACAATATATTCATTATATTAATTTTTCTTTTTCTGTGAAATCTTCTTTTAGATGAGCAGAAATTTTTAATTTAATTGGTAATTTAGTATTTTATCTATAAGTTAGAAAAAATAGTTTATGCTTTATTATTAAATTCTGATTTGTTTGATAAGCAAAAAGAGTAGCAGGAATAAAGATATTTCATTCTTGTTTATGTATTATTATTAATTTTTGTAAGATTTTACATAGTATTCTATTAAAATGTTCTATTATTCCATTAGTCTGTGAATGATAAAGTAAAGAAAATTTATGTTTGATTCTAAATTTTATCAATAATTTTTTAACTATTTCATTAACAAATTCTAATCCATTATCTAATTAAATTTCTTTAGAATATCCATGTCTACAAATTATTTTTTCAAAGTTAAATTTTGCAATTATAATAGCTTTCTTGTCTGGAATTACTTTAATTTCAGGCTATTTTATAAGATAATTTATTGTTATAATAATATATCAATTTTCAGTTATTATTATTTTACTAGGTCTAATTAAATCAATAACTATTTTGTAAAGATTATTTGATAGTTCTTCCACCAGTTTGCTAGCAGATTTCACAAGTCTTCATATAATTCTTTATATTAGTTCCTATATCATTCCACTAATATTTATTTGTAATTCATTGATAGATTTCTTTATATTCAAAATGTCTAGATAAAGAGCTTGAATATAAATTAATAAGAATTGCTTCTATTTCATTTTCTTTAATAACTCTAAGAGATGTAGTTGGTTCTTTTCATTAATTAATTTTATATAATATATCATCAATTTGTAAAAAATGTTTTGCTTGATTATGAATATTGCATTGTTGTTCAAGAGTTGATCCTACAGGATAAGTTTTGTTGTCCAAATATCATTATAAATTATAGTAAGTTGTTAAATCCATATTATTATTATAAAGAGAAAAATTGTTTAATGATCTTCTGAATACATTTAAGATAAGACATTAGCATTTTGATTCTTTCTTCTAGGTCAATAAGTAATAATAAAAGTATATTCCATAGGAGATATGATCTATCAGTTTACCCTAGCAGAATGACTTGATTGATTTTTAAATAAACAGTCAAAATGATCTTTGAAAACATATCAAGACATATTAATTATGATCAATGCGATCATAGCGAATTTTTTTCATAAAATTAACTCTCGATATGATGATTTATTGGTATATCATGAAATTCTTGTTTAAAAATTAAAATGTGGCTCGAGACATCATTATATTGTATGATCGTTAAATCGAAATTTGACTAAAAATTAGATAAAACCCTATCGTGCAATCTCCTAATTACATGTTGATGATTTCGGTAATAAACATACAAAATTTCGAAATATAAATAATATATTAAATTAGAGAAATCAGAACAACTAGAACCATCGGTAATGACATTCTTGTTATTACTGAATTGTTTTTGATATTATATCCGGCGGTTGGTGTTGATGTCGCTGACTTCGCTGGTGCTGCCGATGTCGCTGTAGTTGCTGCTGATACCATTTTCGTTGCTGAACTTGATTTCGCTGATACCTTTTTCGCTGTCGTTGGTGTCGTCGTGGTATTTGAAAGAATTGTAGTATCTGTTGTCGTAGCAAAAACGAGATTGCTGAAGATTAGAATGATGAGAAAAAGTATTAAAGTATGATTTTTCAGGTACTGAATAATGAATTTGAAATTTAGAGTGTTTGTATAATTAAATTTTTGAAATATGAGTTAACGAACACGTATTAATGTATTTATATATATCATATATAAAATATTTTTATGTGAACACAAATTGAGAGTTTAACAGGTCAACCAAAATGACAACATAAAAGATGTGCAATATTGCATTTTTATGTTATTATAGAACCTTACCTTGTTAAGTCATTAGGTGCCAATTTTTGGGCTCTGGACTTGCAAAAATCACGCTAGCCACTTTTAGACTGTTTGCACTGTATAAATACACGAATCGGCTAGCGGAAATTCATTTTCTAGAAGTAAAGCATAAAAAGATACATGTTTAAACTTGCTATGCTCTGATAACACAAAAATGGTATATGTACATGTAATTGTTATTTAACGTTAATCTTATCATTTTCACTTATTAAACAATTGTTACAAGTATTTAAATATATTAAATATAATACTTGATTAAAATCATGTAATAGAGAATCATACAAAGAATATGGCAACGATGAAAAATACAATGACAATAAATACTTACATAATATATAATTTTTTGGATCTAGAATCATGAAAACATGACAATGAATTACGTATAGGGAAAGATCAAATACACAATGAAAATACCAAAAGTAAAGAAATTTTCCCGCACGTGATGATGTTCCCCCGATTGCAAACGCAAAAAAAATTCAAAACAAGAGAAAAATCGTAGATGGCATAGAATATTACTATGATAACTGGCCTTTTTCCACTAAATAAAAATACACTACACAAAATTTGGATATTGTTCCGTCCTTAATTGGTTAACTCTAACCCTAAATGTGTCTTTTATAATGAAATTTCTAACGATTGATATCACGTGCGGGGAAAAATTTTTTGGGGGTGAGCTGTGTAAGTTCAAAAAGTAATATTGTATCGCAGAGCTTATAGATTAAAGAAGGTAATGTATGTCTATGCCTGTGACGATATCTGCTGATATCATTATTAATAGATTTTATGTATGTAATTTTACGGGTACAAAGTGTGACACTTATGATTGCATAGGTCTTTATTACAATTATTTTTAAGAATTCTTCATAACAAGTCTTTCATAGCTAAAAGTCTTAACAAATTGTTTTATCAAATAAATCACAATAATATATGTCTTCCTCGAACAAAGGCGAATTAAATTCGGAGGTGTAAAATGGGCCTTGTTGAACCAAAAATAATTATATAAAGGTGATTTGTACACAAGTCAATCATATGAATTAGAACTTTAAGTATACTTTATTTGATCTATGTAACATGATAATTTCTTAGAAATATCATTGATAAATAATTTATAGGTTTGATTAATTAGTTATATAAAGTATCTCCAACATGTATATATGTTATTATTCGATTACATAATTTGGTATCATGGTCAGTAAAATCTTTATTATTTAAAATGAAATTTTACATCATAGTTTCATCAAGTTTTCATCAAGCAAAAAATCATTGATGAAACCAAGAGATTCAGGCTCCAATGCAAAATACCTTAAAATTTCAAATAAAAATGTGAATAATTTTAAAGGAGGCACTTAAAAAGTTTGAAATCGTACTTACATATGTCCAACGTTCGGAATCCTCATGAATTTGTTCTTAGGAATTTCACGAGCAAGCAGTTCACTTTGCTGAATAGGGATTACTTCGTCATCTTCACCATGAATTATCAAAGTTGGCATTTTAATTGTTTGGAATCTCGAAACGAAATCCATATGTTTCATAGCCTCCCACTGTCGTTCTACAAATAAACCAAATTGTCATTTTCAAACCTCGAGACGAATCTTATCTTAGGCATAATGAGAATTACAAACTGAAAATCCCAAATGGGCGACGAGCGTTGAACACAACTTCCGCAAATTTATCAAACTTGTCCGGATGCTTAAGCAGATAATCAGTAGCACTTTTTTCGAGTGTATTTGTGAGCATATCCTTTTGTTCTTGGACGCTTTTTGGAAAATCAAATTCTGTAAGGTTATATCTAATGTCGAAGATCAAATTCGTTGGAGTTTGAGATACACTTCATCAGGAATGAAGAATGTAAGTTAATAGATGGTTTGTAAATTAACCAGAATGTATTGTACATGTCATCCGCAAAGAATCAGTTTCTCCAGCTTAAGATCCGATGGAACGTTCATAGCAACGCTAAGTGCGATAGAACCTATAAAAATCAATATATACTGAAATTAACGGATATTGAGTCAAAATCATCATTTGAAGAACATAAATTAAATATTTAGATTTCGAACATTACCTCCCATAGAGTACCCCAACAGATTAAATTGTTTTATTCCAAGATGCTTGATCAAAGCAATTGTATCTTGCGCCATCAAATCAATCGAGATCGTATCATTAGTATTAAGAACACTCGATTCGCCCATTCCACGATTATCAAACAGGATTACTGGTGAATGAACGATTTATTTATTGGTCGAGAAAAGAATTTTTAAGATAAATAAGAATGAATAAAGAAAAATATGACAAACCTTTTCGATGTTTGGCCAATTCTATGAATCATTAAAAACGGTATCAGCTACTTTTCTATACGCAAGAAACTTTATACTCAAATAAAGATATCTATACTTAACCTTTTTCCAGGCCCATAAAATATTCTTTATTTGACCACCTTAGCCAATGTATTTCAATTAAAAAAGTAGCATAAATAATTCAAAAACATCTAAAAATTGTAAAAATGGAATATTCACAATCCTATTATTAATACAAGGGGAATCTCATTTTTCATATCTTCCGACTTGCGCGATTCAATAATCTTGTATGCAATTCGTGAACCATCTTGTTGTTCAAAAAAGCGAGTCTCGGGCATATTTCAGCTAAAAGATGTTGAAAAAGAGGATTTTAATAAACCGCGATATTTTTTCAGTCTTTTTTAATTAAATTGCTTACTATTTCTCTACGCAGTGTTCAAAACTATTAATTATTTCTGGACCGCCACATTTCCGATCCTTATAAAATATAATAATAAGCAGGAATCAGGAATCGATGTTCTATAGACACGTTTCAAACAGGTAAAAGCATGCATTTGACTTATCTAGCATGCACAGTATAATAATGATAAGGCCGGTTTATACATGTACATGTGCATGCATTTGTCTGATTAGTATCAAAAATATTATTGTTATTATGGTTGCGTTAGAATCTTTAATCCATAATGTCCGCGTAGTTTATGATAAAGCTTAAATTTCATTGATCCTAACGAATCGAAACGTTTATCTAACATCTTTCGCATAATTTTATACATGTGCAAGTTTTGGATGGGCGGAATTAGTGTTTTGTTTGTGACTAGCGTTAAGAGAGAGTTGGTTGTTTATGCTAATTCCTGTGCCGGTATCTACGGATATCGTTTTGTGTATGTGATTCAAAATACAAGTGTATGATATGATTTGAGGCGCGAGAACTGAGAGTTTTGGAATTATTTGTAGCGTGGGAATTGAAGGAATAGTAGTTGGTGTATTGATAAGCTATTTCGAGAAGAAAGGAAGGGAATTATGCTTGCTAACTATTAACGATTCTAACTCTTAATCAATACTTTTTTTAAACAAAAGCCTTAAACTCTTATCAATCAAATCAAACAATTAATTCACTGATGCGTTTGCATTTTCTGGTTTTCTTTTCTGATGCAAAGAACCAAACAAATCTTTTATGATTATAATTATGATGCCTCCTAAAAAAGGATTTTAACAAGTGTCTTTGATACTTGGAGAAAATTGTACCCAAGTTTATTTCTGACGAAGAGTTTTTGCAAGTATATTATTACTTGGAGAAAAATTTGTGCACAAGTTTATTTCTATCTTGTTAAAGGCTCGAAAGCTCATTCCTTATATACATACGTTTGTTAGCTTTTCCTATTTTCTAAAAAAATACTATTTTAAATCTATTTACCTTTATATAATTCTTATTACACAACAACCACAAAATAATAAAATATGATTAAAGAAAAGATTGTTTGATATGCAGGTGATAATGCTGAAAAAGATGCTGAAAAATTGGATAATTGTGTTGAGAAGGATATCGAAGAATTACGCAATTGTTCAGACAGATGATCCATTATCTGAAAAATGGAATTGATTGTGCTGAAAAATGTGTGATTATTTGTGTGTCGAGAAGTATGCAGTCGGCATAATTTCGGGAATTAAAGAATTTAATGGAATTATGGTAATAGTGCCACCGACAAATCTCATATTTTTCAATTTTGAAGAGCTGGCTTGATATTAGATTTGTATGTCAGTTGATATTTTATTTACGGAATTGACCGAGTTTTTCTTAAAGATAGCAGTTACAATGCAAATTCAGATGGCTTCCTGATAATATATCAAAAAGATAACAATGATAATAATATTTCACATAATTTTTATTGAATTACTAATATTAAGTTGAGATACTATTGTTTTATTATACTGTATTATCTTCAACTTTTGGACAATGGTTTGGATATTAATAATTATGATGACTCTACAGAATTAATTTTTCAGTTTTTATTTGAAAAAGAAAATGCAGACTGAGAGAGAACCACTTATCACAATTATGAATATCTTTTTTCAGAATTACTTTTGTCTCTAATTATTTAGAAAGTAACCATGGATTTTGACAAATTAAAAAAATTGGATTGCGAAATAAATATTTTATATCAGATTTTTTATTATGCTGTATTGCATAAATTTATTCAATTTAGTTGTGTCTAATATTACGAATATTAGTGTTATGCCTAAAACTAATACTATGTTTTAAAAGCAATAATCTTCTAAATATTTATTAGTTTATAAAAGATAAATAAAAATAGGAAATAAATTATTCTCAATCGCTTAACATACTTAATATTCCATGACATTTTCCTCAAAAGACACGGGTATAGAAGTATTTTCAACAATAATATCAAAAGTAAAGAGTTTGGCCCACAAAACTAAATCATGGCCATTTTCAGAAACTTAAACTTTACTTCTTTACTTAACATTTAATATAAGCTTGAATAACTTCAGAATAAAATTTGAATAAAATGTTATTTAAAAATGCGTAAACTCTGTTAAACGAATTCTATTCCAATGGAATAATAACATCTTTTATGTGAATAGCAACAGATGTTGGATCTTTGTTATTTCACGGACAATAGAAGTTAGTATCATAACTTCCTCAGGTTTAATTTGTTTGATAAGTTTTTCGATTATCATTTTGCACTCTAGTCGAATAAATTATTTTGAAGACCTGTAAAATTTCAGCATGCGGCATAGAAGTGATATAGAAGAAACGTATCTGTACTTGAAATTAGAGTTTGTTGTATATTATACCTCCTGGGTGATAGAATGTTGATCTAGCATTTAGTAAAGCAGAAGGAAATATTGTCTTAGGCATTCCTGTGAAAGTGTGCCAAAAATTCTTTTATGCGAAACTTAAATACTACTCTACAATAGTCGTGCGTTATTAGACTTGAGAAGAATATTCACGTGCTAGCGTTGCAAATATACTTAGAAATCTTTCTTGTCTTAGTGTCACCGATTCCTTAATGTGAATTTTGACGTGATCAGTATCTCCACATCTTAGAATTTGCATCCTTTACGTATTGAAATTTAAGATAATTCACGAAAGGGATTTTCCTATGCTGGTCTCAACGAGCAACAATATATTTATTTCTTTCATTGAACAGCAACGAAATCGAAATATGAGGATTATCAGAATTCGAATAAATTAAATTTCACCCCCGTTGCTTTCGTCATGCATGATGGAAGCTTCTTGAACCACCCATTTGACATTTAAGCATATACAGTTACCGTCATAAATTCTGTGAACTTACCCATTCAGATTGTGGCCTTAAAGGTATGAAGATATAATGTTTATGTACAAATATACACTAATGGTTCCCATTATTTTTTAATCATTTGATTTAAACTTCCTGAATTTCAAAATTTCAAATTCAATCATATATGAATATAAAATGCGCATAATAGAAAAGAATCTTCGGAACACAAATGTACAATTGCCCTACACACCCCCACAATATATTACCGGAAATAACAAAAATAAAACTATCATTTTGTAATCTAATATCTCAAAATCCAGTGATCCCAGTTAAATGAAGATATTACCATAAGTTTTGTGGAGTCGGAACAAATTTAATGGGAGAATTTTCATTATTGGATTTTGAGATATTGGAATTCAAAGCAGCAGATTTGTTTTTGGGATTTCCGGTAATATATTGTGGGGATGTGTATGCGAATCAAATTTAAAACAAAATCAAGATGATATTTAAACAGATTCCATCTTTTTCTAGTAAATTTTGGAGAGTCCTTGGACATCCAGGATACGAAATAGGTCGTGTTTCTCATTTTTTTAAATTGAACAATACAAAGGCAACCCCGTTATAACGAATCCCGTTTAACCGAAGCATTAATTACAATCGAAGGTGGCACCAGGATCAGTTATAGTAAATCTATCAGGTTAACCAATGAAACCTCGAATAGACCGAACTTTTAAAATTTTTCACTAATAGCACCGACCACTTCGGTATAACGGGCTGTCTTAATATTATGTGTCATAGATAAGGGACACATGTTAGTTTGCTAAAATTGGGACATCACGCATCCACACTTCCAAAGCTCATTGTCAGTTGTTCATCGATCAGCAAGTAGGTTTTTTAGTCCATCTTATAGTGCACAACATAATGATATGGCTTTTTTAGGATTTTTTATAAAACAAATCATCCTTAAAATTTGTGGGCGTGATCATATTTTTTATATGTACTGTTTGGTATTTGTATCTGACCAAACATGTTTCAATAAAGATAAAAATGGTTCAAACGGAGATCTCTATGATAAAATGTCTCATGACAACACGCGTTTACCTGCATTAGGATCTGAAATAACTTATCTATGGCGTAACTCTTAGCCTGAGAAAATGTTTTATCTGAATATTTTATAATGATAACGATAACATAGTCGCGTATCTTAATACGTGCTATGACATAAACGAAAACGTTCTAGATCAGGTTGATTATATGCTAAACATTATGATTTATTGATGTTAATGCTAAAAGAAGTCTCTCTTATTTTAGATGATAGATAGCCAATAACGATTCGTCGTCAATCTAAAATTATTTATTTCGGAATTTCTTTCGTCATCCCTTCGTTATTGGATTTACATGTTGGGCGAGCGATTATTAAACATATAAGCTTTTATTTTCATAAATGTTATATTAAACAATAAATACATTTTTTATTCTATCGTCAATTATATCGAATACCCGTGCACGTTAGTTCTCCTTTAATACATGTACGTAGGCTATTTCCATTCAAATAATGGAGTCAATTTTAGAATCTTTAGGATATACGCTTAATATACCACACATATACACACAAACGAAAAAGAGATGTCACATTAATATTTAGTTCAGGTGGTGTCCCTTGACGAAGTTTTTAAAATGTCCTCTAAGTAAAATTTATGAAAAATGGAGAGTATATGGAAGAACCTTATCTTAAAAGATATTACTTACAAAGTAACTGAGTACCGGAACTCTACAGTTAATTTAGATCGACTGATATGATTCTTTTTTTTGAACTTTGAATCATTCATGATGTCACTAAATTTCAATACATGTGTTTGTAAATCATTTTAAATGATTAGGTTATTAAAGCAACATGAACCAGTACATGTACTTGAAGGAAACAATAATACATGCAGTATTGGTATTGATATTGATGATCTAACTTGAGTGAAAAAATAGTCCGAATAATGGATCCAAAAATAGGTTAACAAAAGAGAACCTCGCTATGAAGTTATAATCCGGTTGTATATACATGTATCAATAAATACAGTTTT